ATTTGTCGTTTATTTAGCATCACATTCTGCTTCTGGGAATTTTCTTCCAAAACATGTATAAGCTAAGTAAACGACAAATAGGAAAAAATTAGAAGAGTTTGCACGAGTGATACAAACTCCACTACTTATATTATTTCATCAGTATAAAATCTTAAAATTAATGAAGAAAAGTGAAATAATCACATTCATATAGAGTGGCTTTGCAGATATCAGAGCTCAAGCATCAGATAAAGCAGCTATTAAATACCGCGATAGCATAATAGTTGCGACGCGAGTTATGCAAATAAGAGTCATGACAATAGCGAGTATTGTAATATCGCGCCATGACCTCGCGGCTGGAATACGATCACGCTATGACACTGCGATCTGTTTATGATCGTGATCGCGATATGAGAATCGCGAAGCTGCTTTTAGACTTCGATAGTCCAAGATCGATAGTTCAAGACAGTTCACACACACTTTTTTAGGAAGTAGCACAAGTAAAATTTTGTCATATCGTTCGCATATGCTCGCACACATGTGCACATAATTTTCGCTATAGATGCTGTTCAATCTCGACTATTCGACTTACAGTTATCGGTTTAAAATCTCGTCTGTTTTCTGAAGTATACTAACGTGTTATACAAGATGTTCTCCAAAAATCTATGCATAAGCTGTCATATATTTTAAATTATGAAACATTTCAAAAAGATTCCGTTGAAGGTAAGTTTAACAGTATCATTTAGAACGAAGCATTAGCAAAAACAAGTATGCATCATAGTATTTTGTACAGAAGTAAAAACGACGCAATTAGAAAAATGAAGCACTTCCTTCATAATTAGAGCATGACAATTTAAGAAGATACTTTCAAAAAAATCGTTTTTTCGTTCTATGGCAAAGTACAGTAATGGAAAAAAACATTCATTACTACGGAATATTACCGCATGCACAAACTTTTGACATCCAAAATAAATGGATGTATGCATGAACAGTGTCATATATAGCAATATCAATGAATATGTTTTCAATATGTTCGTACTTGAAGAAATCCTCTGATTATCATAGTAGATGCTATGATATTTACATAAAAATCACTAAAATTGAATTATACAAATGAATCAAACTAAGGAGTTGGTCTATTAATATACCGGCTTAAGTCCAACCACACTAGAGTTGCAATTTCTGTTGATCTGACTACTGACAGGTAAATGTGATGACTAATGTAAGTGTATTGGTGCCGTTGTGCCCTACTATCGGCATCCTAGTGTCCTATAATCCGATCTGTTAACATCAATAGAAGCAGATTTTTGTTGATATGGATTGATACCGTTGAAAAAAAAGAGTTACGAAAAAGATACTGGATGTATAACTTACGTTTAATATCACTAGGTTACGTGATTAGAAAATTATAATTAATAAATAATTGTTGTTGTTATTGGAGAAGATCAGTTCATTATATAGGGGGGAGAAAATAGTCAGTCGTATCGTGAACCGGTTGTCTCACACTCTAATTTGCCGATCATATTTAGAGTAAATCTAATGTTGCTAATACAACCAAATTTGAGTGAGATTTTTAGTTAAAATAAATATATGATGCTATATATAAGCTTATGGCTTCGAACAAAAAAAACTGAATTAGCATCGCGCACTCGCTAAATACTAAATATTTTAGTAATGAGAGGCAATATTTTGTCTTAATACTTCATCACAGTGTTCTGGTATCAAATTATTTTTCTTTCTTTTTTTTAATGGTTATCATCACGTGGAATTTGATTTTTTTGTTGTTAAGGTAAAGAAGAACAAATAGTCAATAATTATACAAAATAGGCAGAATATAAATGAAATGTTTGATTGCTTTTATAAATGCCTGTCCGCAGTGAATGAGATATCAAAAAGATATAAAAAAAAATCAAACGACAGGTATAAAATAGGTGGGAGATGAGTTAAATCCTCCTCAATGGGAATGTCACTAGTTTTAATGAATGCTGTTAATTTTCTTCTACTTAACCCACGACCGACAATTGTTTATTTTTGTAAAAATTCTTTCTAATACAATATGGTATAATTCTTTGGAAGTTTATCCAAAGTTTCATCAGATACCAGGTCTACAAAAAAGATTCCAGTGTTACACTATCTAATCAATCAGTTTACAGTTGAACTTTTTGTATAAAAGAACGAAAGAAACATTAAAATTTAACTTAATTTTTGGTTTTTGAAGTTTAATTTTCGCATCAGGAGTCGTGTTCCCGATCGAAGGAACGCGACTTTCTCAAAAGTTATCAAATTGGGAATTTCTGAAAATAAAAAAATTATTTTCGGAACTCCTATAGCAATTATCAGGAGTCGTGCCGCGAAATAGCCCTTCTGCTCTAGAATAGTGATTGGGCTAGGATCATGACACGATTCTAAGAGTTCTGACAAGACCCATCACGACATCTTATCGTCTTATTTCGTTACTCTTATCGCGATCGTCGAACGCGACGTTTTGGCGTGTGTTCTTGGCATTAAAGTTGACACGAGACGATGTGCCATGTTGCAGTGTCGATATATACTAAAAATTTTCATTAAAAAAATGTCGCATCGATAAAAATTGGTGCTGCACTGAAAGTAGCACAGCAAATGGCATTTATTTAGTTTTATGTTGATTAGAATGCGGCAGTAATGGGTATCAATATCACATTATCCAAGAGTAATCATACAGTACTACCTCGGCATCTTTCTTATGAGAAGAAAAAGATGTACTTATAAAGGCATTCGGAATATTACAAGTATACGATGATGCTTTTATAGACAGACGTTGACGAAATAGAACAGTAAGGAGTAGTCCACACAAGATTTGACATCAGTCCACTAAAATAATAATAATTTAGTGGGCCGATTTCAAGTCTTATGTGGACTGCTCGTTTAAAACTAAATCTGACACGGGTGCAACTGACATTACTGCACTGAAACGCCTTTTGTAGGATAGCCTTGATGCGCATCCATACTAGTTAAAACGATAATTGATTGTTATTCATTTTCAGCGATCAATTTGATTTATATTCGGTTTTTGTCTCTGTTTCTGGTTCAAAACGAGCATCGAGAAATCTTTAGATAGTATGATGACGTCAATGTGTATTTTGTAGTCTACACCATTGATTAACGAATATTTTATTTTCAATTTTTTGTCAAGAAGTGTTCAAATCGAAATAAAAGGGCGATATTCGTGATCTGAAACTGAATCAGAATATGTGCCTTTGATTCAAAAGTAAAACCCTGTGGAAACTTTGAATTAGCAGCGCCTTATAAATATTAACGTTTTTAGCCGACATTACTTTAAGAGCCATTGCACGTAAGCCACGACCGACGTTCTTCAATCGACGTTTTCAAAACTTTTCTCTTAACTCCAGTCGTTTTAACTTTCTGATTAAGGGGCTCTTGTAGACAAAACATTTTAATGAATTTTGGTAAAAGGCGCAAATCTAGAAGTTGTATCGCTTTAGTTACAAAAGGATATTTTAAAGTCTTGGCTCTCGAATCGCAAAACCAGAAGAAGAAGAGAAGTACATAGTCGACTATGCTAAATCTGATGGCAAAATTTTATTTTATTTTACTTTATGTTAGTCTTCATCTTTCGAGGTTACTGGAAGCCACTGATTGCCAGTCCTGGTGCTCCATGGAGATCAGATACCACGTCCAAATCATCCAAAATCAAAGTTGCGCTTGGCTCCCATTTTGAAGAAGACACTTTAGGCTATTTACTCATAAAAAAACCAATCTATTACTGCTTTGTCTTTTAGAGTTACAAAACGGTTTTCTAGAAATCTTCTATAAAGCCGGTCACTGAGAAGTATTTTCAACTTTGTTTTAGTTACAAAAAGATATTTTAAAGTTTTGGCTATCGAATCGCAAAAAACAGAAGTTTCTATCGCTTTTCGTTCTTGAGTTACTCAAAAACCACTGACCGGCATATTCTGATTTATAGAAAACCCATCAGAAGGGAACCTATCAGAAATACTCTCGGTGGAACTCGCACATAAGACCGCGTTAATAATGGAAATTAACTTGTTGTTGTATTAGCATTGAATTCCTTGTGAAAAGTTACATATCAAACTGTCTTTTAGTGAAATTTTAATATACTATAGCAGAAATATACTAATTGAAGCAAGCCTCTAGAACTCGATGCCCCCGAAGCCATTTTAGCGAAATCCACAGATCGCAGGATGGACTATGATAGTACACTTGGTATACTTCAGCACTGAGCTACTATATGGTTCTGGAAATCCATTGTGAATGAGCACTTACTATTGAAACATACATAGGGCGGCGAGGGTGAAGAACTAAGGGTCGCTCCTTCTACTAGAACTGAAACTGCTGAAAGTTTATTGAGTCCAGCAATGCATGCCAAACATGTGTGTTCATTGGAGCCAACGCAAGGAACGTGGCCCTTTAACGAGATAATACCATTAAATTAGGATCAACATACATGTGGGCCAATAACAAAAACGGTAGAAGAATTAATTTTCTTGCATCAGATCAACTCTAAACAATCGATAAATGAAAGAAAAAACATTTGTTGGAATTATTGGTAAATAGATGAAACATCCACCAAATCAGCTTTAATATAGAAAGATTTTATTTTATTTTTAGGTGAAAATGTTAATGATTTTTCACTATTAACTCAAGTTTGTCATCATTTAAATTATTCAGTTGTTAATTTAAATAAAGAAAAATCGATTATTAATGATTTTTTAACTATCGTTACTGGTAATCCTTCGACATCTTCAATTTCATATTCGGAGTTTTTATGTTATGCAATGAAACAAGATATAACCGATTATTGATCATCTCATTCAACACTGTACGACAATTGTTCATCTCTCGATCAAATATCAAGTACAATAATCCACATTACAATAATGATAAAACAAGAGTATGTCACGCACTTGACCATCTTTCGGGATTAGTTTTGCTTTTATTATACATGTTCGTGTTGTCTCAATGGAACTGTCTGTTTTATAGGACAGAAAAGCTGAATAGAACAAGAAATATTGAAATGTTAAAAATAATTCTCATTTATACAAAAACAAAAACAAAACCACGTACTGTCGTCTTGTGTTGGATTTGTTTCATCTGTGTTTGCACAAGAGCAGGTTAATCTTAAACAGAAGGATACAATGTCAAACAAAAGTTATTCCAGTCTTTTGAATATATATACTTTGCTGTTACAATATCACCATTTTCACAATTTTGAATGTGAATTTTAATTGGATAATATTCATAAAATAATACTGGTAATTTATGGTCAGCAGTTAACGTCACAGCTGCTGTACGTGTGATAAAACTAAAAAGTCAATTAAAAGTTATTTTCGTCTTTTTCTTTCTCTTTCTAATAAACATAACCAGTCTTACTTTGTTTTTCGCCTAATTGGAACATTCTCCTATAATGTATATCCGGTATGAAGTTGCCATTTTGGTGTCAACGGAATATTTGCTAATCCTAGCTGTTGTTGTTGATTCCTTTTCGCAGAAAATTAATATGACGTTTAGTTTCATCGCCATATGCCAAAGATATCGAAACAACCTAAATGATAGAATATTTGCTGTTTTTGATAACATACAAGAAACGTTTCAAGTGTCTTACTTCTAAAAGACGATGAACATGTTCATTTTGTAGTGAAAATTTAAATGACGATGTTTTATACATCATTGACGCGAAAAATAATTGTTCTTTATTCGTAGTTGAAACAGCATTATCATATTCGGGAACATTAAATGCAGCACTGAGATGATTGAATTGAATTGGTAAAATGAAATCACTTCTAAAATACGAAATACATTGACGAGATTATTTTTTTTTCTCTTATTGATCAAGTGAGATGAAAACACAATAAACGGTATAAATTTAATTTAAACAATTTTTAAATAAACTATATGCTAATAAATTAATCAAAAACAGTAAAAGAAGACTTAAAACGTCAAAAATTATGTATCAATACTATTCAGCTATGAAACACCCGAAATATATCGAGCTTTAGTCAAAGATGAAACAAAGAATGATAATAGCAAATTTATCACAAGTAATTATTTTTAATAATTCCTTAGTTCTATGATATAAAGAACGTGATGCGTCGTAAAAAAATGATGATTGAATTGGTGTTTTATGAAAAACTAGTGAGTGAAGAAAATCGACAAACGTTACTGAACAACAAGGAGGTAATGACAAAATATGTTTCGTGAATCGGTTTTAAAAAAACATTTATGAATATTTTAATTATCTAGTAAGAATGGCAGAGTCAGAAGTAGCAAAGAACATTGATACACAAACAAAATTAGCAACTAATGTGAAAGAGCCTGTTAAATTCAAAAACAGAGTTTATAAAAAGAAAGTATTAGATAAATTCTATGAAATAAGCCGGAAGATAAGAGAAAGAGAGATCTCATCACATTTTCTTACTTGATTGATATATCTAATGATATTTCACTGTGAAATATCATACGTTTCTTCGTTGTTTTGCTGTTTCGGTTGTGTTTGTATTTCATGTCGGTGTTGGTGTTTCGGTAGTGATCTTGACGATGATTGATGTTTGAATATTGAATTCGATGATCGTTGATATTCTGATGTTGTATTTGATGATTGACGATATGTAGGTGATATATCCCGGTGTTGATGGCATCTAGATGTTGGATATCGATTCATGATATTGGTAGTATAACGAGAGTAATATAACAAATATAATAATAAGTATATCTAGAGAAAACAAACAAAAATAAACATTTATCATCTTTTCCTTTCAGTGTCAGGAAAATTTAGCTTGTCTTTCTCTCAATACCAGGAAGGTTTAAAGTCGTTTTTCTCTGTTTCAGGTAGACGCGATATCTTTTCCTCTCAGACAGGAAAATCTCTACTCTTTCTCTCTTAGGCTAAAGTTTCGAATGAATTCAGCTATTGGGATTCATAATTCGGTATCATCTATATCAATTATAACTAGTATGTTCAATGGTGTAAATGCCAAACTATTAATTTCACACTCATTGCATAGTGTTTGAGTGGAAATGAAAAATAATAATGCTGATAACCATTTAAGGATAAATTGATCACGTAATAGCCCCTTCTACCAGTGAAGAGTGGAAAGCCACTCCTCCGACAGACATTGCTGGATTACATAAGTGATCACGTATACCAAACTACTATGCATATATTTTCACTGTTTGGCTACGATGATCATTATTCTAATTGATATTTGGACGTTCAAATATTGGTATGAAAATCGACGGTGACTTGTTTTGTTAATGTTGGTTTCTTGATGTGTTGCACCATATATGTTTTGTCGGCCATTCGTTGAGCGATTTTAAACAGACCATCGTGGCGAACGTCAAATTTTTGTCTACTGTTTGTTGTTTTGACTAGAACCAAATCACCCAGGTTGTATACTGGATTCGATCGATGTAAATCATAACGATTTTTCGATTGTTGTTGATTTTTTATGATGTTCTTCTTGGCTTCATTTTCTAATGATGATATATATTGTTTTAATTTTGTGATGTGCTCTGGGTATTGTTCGAGCGATACGACTTCTGGCTGATAATCAAATATTAATTTTGGTGATCTGCCAAATACCATTTCAAACGGACTTTGTTTGGTCGTTGAATGGACGGTGGCATTATAATTAAATGTAACAGATGGCAGTTGTTCATCCCAATCCGTTTTTCGTTCATTGGATAATGCAGCTATCTTTGCATCCAGTGTTGAGTTGTATCGTTCCACTCCATTTGTTTGTGGATGATATAGAGTGGAGTATAAGTGGGTAATACCAACTTGTTGTCAATCTACTAAAGCAGGAGAGGTATTCTAAGATTTTCTTCAGGAAGAGAATCTGTATCAGTTAGTTAGAGGAGTGACAAGAGATGTTTCTGGTACTTGCTTAGATTTGATTATTGTAGAAAGTTCTTCATTTATAACTGATATAGCTATACGACCACCTTTAGGCCGAAGTGATCATAACTTTATTGAGTTTAAAATTCAAATACTATCTTTAAAAGACAAAATAGAACGTACAGTTTATGATTATAATGTGGTTAACTGGGAGAAAGTGAATGAACGATTCAATGAAATACCTGTACAAATATCTGTTTTAAAGAATTATAATAATCTGAATGATAGAGTTACAGCCTTCGAGCAGATATTGTTGGACAAAAAAATTTGTATTGAACCACGCGATAAAGTTTGGTTCAACGACTTAAAAGGAAATGTAAACTATATCGAAAAAGTAAAACATCGAATTATCATTTTCAACTATACAAAACAGCTGCAGAAGAGTTTAAGACAGCTTGTATTGCCATCAAAGAAGATTACTATAAAAGGATAAATTTAAAAGTGTGTGCTTTTGGGACGCTTAACTACTTTGGGACGTAATTTTATAATCTTAGATAAATTTTATATAAGAGTTTGGCGCTAAAGTTTTATGTCTGACTTATCTGAACTTTATTCTATCTCAAGAAAAATGATCGATTCTTGTAGATGAATTATCTACTTTTCGTCGACTGTCGTCCATAGATTATAAAAGGCATCATCAAGCTAGCGTTGAGCCATGTGGTAAAAGCCATGTGGTTTTGAAATTTTGTCTTCTTGTTCCTCATCGATCCGGATGGGAACTTTCTTCAGTTCGTTTCTTTCTTGAGCTGCATAACATTTTAAAAAAAATGACTGTCTAAAGTTCTAGAGTATGATTCGACAAAGTCTTCTACATAATAGGGCGCTGGGATCATTTATTTTGGTAGAAGTTTGTTTGCTGGATAAAATGCGCAAAGACTATAATATCATCCGAAAGTATATCTGCTCTTCATAAAAAATTAAATTAATATGGTGGTGTATATCCCGAACTGAAAATACCTTTTGCGATTCGAAAAAGTATTCCTCATGAGGAAATATTTGCTGAATGGGAAATGACAAGGAACTCACAGTTCTTATTATTCGCTGTAAGTTAGCACACTTCAGTGCTCATTTCTTCCCAAAATTTTTGAAATAGTTTCCTGTCAAAATGCGATCCAGTCAATGAGTTTTCAGACGAAAAAGCACTTTTTTTTCTGGACCAGCAGATCAAATTAATTTTCTTACGACCGACCGGTCAAAAATTTCTAACCGAACTGGGCCGGTTGCCGGTACCGGTGACATCTGTGGTGGACACGGAATTAAATTTTCTTTCTTCGTGTGTAAACGCATTGCCCTAAAGGTGGAATGTGTGAACACTCTTGGAACATTTTTCTCCTTCGTGTCAACGAGCGATAGAGATATTTCTCGGTTGTAATCACTTATATTTGTGGAAATTTAGGTTTACGCAGTTGCACCATTTTTTTATGTCGACAGACATTATGTGTTTTTGCTGGGAATTTTGTCTTTTTCTTTTTGTATGGGCCTTTTTTTTGTGAAAAAGGTGCACCTCATGATGTAGAGAACTATGAAAGCTAGAAAAGTTCTGGGAATGGTAGGATATTTTCCCGACATTGGAGACTGATCAATGCACATTTTTCTCTCACATAAAGGTCCAGATTCGATACCATAAGCGCCCCAAGTGAAAGAAAAATGTATTTTGGGCTTTGAAATTTTTTGTATATTCAGTGGGCCGGCGCAATTTTGTTTTGCGAGAATCTTAATTTAAACGAGAATGTAATTTTGTTAATACGAGAATTTTCGTTTGTGAGAGAGAGAAAAGAAGAAAATTACGAAGAAAAGTAAAATAAATTTTAAAAAAAAAGATTTGTTAGTCAAAAGAAGACGCAGTATTGAAGAATAACTACAGTTACTGTTAATTATGATTGTTGTGACTACTAAGAAAAAGAATGCAGAAGACAGATAAATTCACTAGCAGAAAGTGTTATATCTCGCCTTTAGGTATATAACGAAAGAAGAACTAATGGCCTATCATTTCTTATTTCGTAGGTTGATTCCTTCTTTTCCTGTAGGGCTATACCTAGGCAAGGTTTTGTTCTACTACTTGGACGTATGCGTTTATTCTGTCTGGCAAAGGAGCTGCGTGTTACCTAGTTTTTCTTTGGTCGCCGTCTTGTGTAAAATGTGCGCCGCATGATCTCGAGAACTACGCTACCTAGAAAAGTTCTAAAAACGGGATATTGTTTTTGATATACTCGAGATTAACCAATGCTTGATCATTTTTTGAGCAGTGGTCCATATTCTGCGCCCTAAGATGGAAGAAGTTAACGGAAAGTTCGGTATTCGCACAAATTGCTTATCGATTTTCCAGTTTTATAGAAATTCGTATTTATGGAAATTTAAGACGATTTTCTAGTAAGTAGAAATTGAACGATTTCGATAAAATGGGAGAATCGGCGAAAACTTTCTGTAAATTAGAAAGTTTACACCGATTTTCCAGTTGATTTTCTATAAACCGGAGATTAATTCAAGACTAGTGTAAGCTTGTTTCAAAAAGTTACACAAAGATTTTCCATTGCTGTATCTGGATACCCAGAACTACTCGAGTAAAATGTAACTGAAGTAACACCTGACCAATTCGGTGCGAATCTCACCGAATGAGTGGGTAACGATAGAGTTGTTGTATTCAACAGTGTGCCAGAATTATACGCCTTTATTGTTGTTTGCACGTTATTCCAAGCACCACCTAAAATACAGGAATTAAATGTAAATTTGGCGCTATTAATTGAGCCTATTGTCATCATTGCTTTAAACCATAAACAATAGCCAGTGCAGATAATTGGATAACTGCTACTGTATAACCAAGTAGCATTTATATATAAAGCGTTAGTCCAGTTCAAACCACCATAAACAGTCGTGATGTTACCCTGAGTTGATGTCCTTCCAGGTATATCATCAAATGTAATAAGCGTTGCATTAAAGCCACAAACTACAATAAAAATATCCATTAAATAAACTTCTGTTATAAAAGCAAGGTCTGTCACCAGAGAACGAACATACAGTTTTCAACACTTCTCAGTCACCATACAATGGAGAGAGAACTGACTCAACATGAGGAAAGTTTTCTTCAAATAAAGACAACACAGCATGTCGAAAAACTATATCAGAACAGTTCAACAGTGTAACAAAATGTAGCGGGACAGAAAAGAGAATCTCGGCTGTTTTCGGTGTTCATTTGTTCAATTTGGCAGTTTTATCCCTCACTATATGCGACGTGTGCCACGGGAGGAGGTCTTGTGAAAGATCATTTTGGTTTTCGTGCGGATTTTCGCCATAGATTGATGCAGTTCCTCCTTTTGTAAAACATCGTAATACAAAAGGCCATTCATATTTTCCTGTAAATCTTCGCAGCCGTTGTCCCAAAACCCCAGATGCCGCCCCAAATTCCAAGCTTTCTCCCATCACCAGTACTGGTTTGCTGCACACATTCCAGAAGAACTTTTTCTTGTTCTAAACGACATATTTCGCATTGATGTTTTTGTTTTAATACACAAAATGTCGATTCATCCGAAAAAATCATCTTCTGTCAGTC